CCCAGACCTGTTCAGAGTGGCAGAAACTCACCCATGCTGGCACCAAGCACAGTGCAGCCCTCCACACAGCCCCTCCCTGTCAAAATTATACCCGGCTGTCACTTCCTAACGCTTAGAAACAATAAATGCGGAATTATTCCAACAAGACTTCAGAGCTGCTGGATCAGCCGCCTCTTGGCATAGCATAGCTGAAGGTGGGAGGCTGCACAAGCCCTGTTTTCTCCCCATCACCCAAGAAGGTCCTGGCTTGACTCTCCCGTCTACATCACTGGCTGCCCTGGACAGCTCTCCACACGAAGCCAGCTGCTACCGGGAATCGTACCTCCACGTCCGATCTCCCTGAAGTCTTTTTCTTTTTTGGTCACATTATAAATGAGGTGACAGATGCTCTGGGAGACCCTGATGTCCACTGGTCTACGTCCTTTGAGATCTGGCTAAGACTGCCTTGTTTTCCCAAGCTGGTGCTCAGCGGTATTCCCATCCAATCTCATAGTCTCTGTGGCCAGGCTGCTCCTGAACTCCTGAACTCCTGACCTGAGGTGATCCTGCAGCCCTGGCTTCCCCAAGTGCTGGTATTACAGGCATGAGCCACAGCCCTCGGCCCATAGAAGCTTTCAGTTCATTTATGCAGAGCTGAAGCTGGGAGAATGAAAGCCTAAGCTTAACCTATTCTTTCCCCACTTTCTCCAGCAGCCAGCCAATATTATGCTCCTCAGCTTAACTAAAATGTCCTCAGGTATCACCAAACACATGGACACCCAGAACCTTGCCTTTTGTATGCGTTTGACTGGGAGTATCCAGTGGTAATATTTTGTGTATCTCTATTGCCACATTACGCTGTGGAGTACCTAAATGCCCTCTTTGCCACTGGAAATAGGTTTAAGATTTCCTCTCTTCTAGTACCAAAATTTGTATCAGTCAGGGTCTCACCAGAGAAACAGAACAAGCAGGAGGATGTAGGGAGTACTGAGAGTTTTATTTATTTATTATTATTATTATTATTTTATTTTTACAAGGCAGGGTTTCACCATGTTGGCCAGGCTGGTCTTGAACTCCTGACCTCAGGTAATCTGCCCGCCTCGTCCTCCCAAAGTGCTGAGATGACAGGCGTGAGCCACCACATCTGGCCAAGAGTTATTTTTTTAACTTCTAAATTTTGTATTTACATAGTGGGTGTATTTATTATGGGGCGAATGAGGTATTTTGATACAGGCATGCCATGCATAATAATCACATCAGGGTGAATGGGGTATCCAACTCCTAGAACATTTATTCTTCATGTTACAAATAACAATTCTATTCTTTTAGTTATTTTTAAGGTGTAATTAAATTATTATTGACTGCAGTCCCCCTTCTGTGCTATCAAACACTAGGTCTTATTCATCCTTTTATTTTCTGCACCCATTAACCATCTCTCCCCAACCCCACTACTCTTCCCAGCCTCTGGTAACCAGCCTCCTACTCTGTAGCTCCCTGAGTTCAGTTGTTTTTATTCCTAGCTCTCTCCATTTCCATCTATGTTGGTGCAAATGACGGGATCTCATTTTCTGAATGGCTGAATAGTACTCCGTGTGTAAATGTACCACATTCCTTTGTCCATTCACCTGTTCATGGACTCCAAGGTTGTTTCCAGAGCTTGTATTGTGAATAGTGCTGCAATAAACATGTGAGTGCACATACGTCTTTGATGTACTGATTTCCTTTCTTGTGGGTATCTACACAGCAGTGGGATTGCTGGCTCATACGGTAGCTCTATTTTTAGTTTTTTGAGGAACCTCCAAAGTGTTCTCTCTAGTGGTTGTACTAACTTATGTTCCACACATCTGCACCAACGTATGAGAGTTCCCTTTTCCCCACATGCTTGCCGGCATTTGTTATTGCTGGTCTACTGGACACAATGGACGATTCTTCCCCAGAGCCTCTGAAGGGGCCACAGCCTGCTGACACCCTGGTTTCAGACTCTGGCCTCCGGAATGTGGCAATACGTTTCTGCTGTTTTAAGCACCAGCTTGTGGTGGTTTGTTATGGTAGCCCTGGGAAGCGAATGCACGGCCACACAAACTTTCTCTGATACGTTGAGTCTTGAGGGTATGTGAGATTGCTTCCGCTGGGCCCAGGGCCACTGCAAGGCGGGGGAAAGAGTGTTTAGAGATTCAAGGGACGTAGGCCATGGTCCTGGTGCTTGTGGTCAGCAGGGTCACAGATTCCTAGGGGAAACTGTTGGGTCTGAAGGGTTCTTGGCTCCCTTGTCCGTTTGTGGATGGGCTCTGGGAGCTGGGCCTCAGGAAAGGCAGGGGGAGGGGTGGTCAGGAGTAGCTCAGAGGAAGTCCAACCAAGGCCTGAGAGCTTTGGACCTATCTGTGTGGGGAGTGAGGATGAGGTGGCCCTGGAAGGCTCTGTCCAGTTCTTCGCCAAGATGGAAAAACAGCCCATCCCTAGAAAAACTGTTTCTACCACATCACGGCATTTAGTTAAAAACTGCCCAGTTAGTGGTCTTGGGACTTTGATCCTGCTATAGCCACAGGTGGCCTGAGGTATCGGACAGAGCTGGCCCCCAGGCCCACTCCAGTCCAGCTCCCAAATCAGGGGCCTGGAGAACCAAGAATGCCAGTCCAGATGCTTGTCTCGTGCTCCCCGTGTCTGTGGGGATTTTCTCCGGGAACTCCGTTTCCTTCGACATCACAAAGCTATTGATGCAGAGGGGTGTCTACAGTGTCCCCATGCATGGGTGAGCGTGGCTGGCTGTGAGTGTGTCCTGAGATGGGGTGGGGTCCTGGCTGGGGCTGGTTCCACTTTGCGCCATCCTGAGCTGCCGGGCTGGCCTCTGGCCACTGCTGCTCTGAAGTGGATAAGTGGATAAATCATGATCTGACTTATTTTTTAGTAATCATTCTTAAAGGTATGTATAGCTGACAATTATTTTAATATTTAATATGAAAGTATTTGGGGTCTTTATGTAGATGATTGGTGATGTTTTTGTGACCAGGAATATAGCATAGGAACTTACTCTTGTCTATTGCAATTAACTTCTGGGAAAGTTGGTTTCCTTACCGCACTTCAAGTTGCACCTCCGAGAACCTTATCAGTGAGCTAAGTGAGGACTTACTGCGCCCACCGTGCACCCCTGCCTTTCTGGGCCTTGGGAGGCTCAGATCCTTTCCTGTCTATCCTAGTAGTCACTGCCCTGCGCAGAGGAGAGGAGGCTTCAGTTAGGCGCTTCCTAAGGAGCCTGCAGGGTTATAAAAATCCCCAGATGCACCTGCAGGGCCCCGGCCTGAGCTTCCCGGCCTGGCACTCAGGTTGCGGGGGATGTGGAGCGGGGGCACTGAGTGGCCGTGGGGAGGAAGGAATGGGGTGATGGAGAGGAAAGGGTAGAGTAAGATGAGGGAGATGAGGGCGGGACAGGAGAAGGGAGAAGGGCGGGGGACAATGGTGTTCATGGGGAAGAATACGGCGGAGGGAGCGGGGAGAATAAGCTGGGGGAGTGGAGTGGGGAAGAGGAAGGCAGAGGAATGGGGGGAGGGAAGTGGAAGAAGCATGTGCGGGTGGGGGATCTGAATGGAGGAGGGTAGGAGAAGGTGTTGGAAGGAGGGCGAAGGGCGGAAGCAGTGACGGGCCAAGAATGAGCCCCAAGTGGTTGGTTCAGCCCACTTGTCCCAAGAGGGTGGGGAAGAACTGGGTGGGGGATGGGTGGCCTTGTGGAGAGGTGGGGAGGGGAGAGCCTACTCCCTCCCCAGCATCAGCAGCATCAACAACCATTGTAACTTATCAACTGATCTCCCCTCAAATCGGCACTTACTGGGCACCTCCCCATGCCAGGCACAGCGCCCTGGTGGCCAGGTCCACCCTACCTGCCATGCGGCCCCCGCCAGGGCGTGCCACTGGGGGTTGATCTTGGAGTCTGCCCTGGCATCTGTGGTCCAGCCACTTCACTGTGAGCTGAGCACCACTGTCCCCACTTTTTAGACTGAAGCCAGTGGAGAGATGGGGAGAGTGGGCTCTCCAGGAGTGTGGGGCCCTGGTCACTCTGGGTGACCTGCTGGCTGTCCAAAGGTCTCTGCAGGCTTGACCAGGGCATGTGCCCCAGGAGAGGACTGCTGGCAATTGGGGTGTGGCCTAAGCCACCTGGTATTCTCCTGCCTGGCCCTCACAACTCCGGGAGTCCCAGGCACGATGCTGGGGAGCTGGCTCCAGCTGGGCTTCAATACTGGTCCTGTCCGGACCTTCTCAGAGCCTTGGCCGCCTCTTCTTGGCAATGAGCATGATAATTTACCCTCTTTACAGTGCCGTTGGGTGGTCTGTTCAGCAGCAAACAATTACTGGGTACTTGCTGGGTGCCAGGCCCTGTGCTGGACTGGATGTGTGGTGGCTGTAGGACAGCAGGTGGCTGGGGTCCTCTGTGCTTGGAAGCTGCCCCAGCCTGGGCATACAGCAGGCACAGCACACATGCCAGATTTTCCTTGAGCTCTCCTCAGGTTGCACGTGCACCCTCGTCCCATCCTCATTGCAACCTCTTGAGACCCCAGCCCTGACAGGCAGTCCACTCTTCTGCTGGCCTCCTACCCCTACCCTGGGCTTGCATTTGAGGAACAAGCCCGATCAGCACCAATGGGCTCTGCCAACAGTCCCCTCATGGTCTGTGGGCCCCTGGGAGCTGCCCTGAGCTAGCGTTTCCATTTCCCTTTCTCCATCAAAGAGGTGACTGCCTTTGCACTGTCAGTTTGCCCTCCTGCTAAGGCCTCACAGCTTTAGCTTAAGGTTGGTTCAGCCTGCTTGTCCCTGGCTTGATGAGGGCAGTCACCAGATCACACGGGATTTCAGGGCGGAGCCCTATGGAAGCTTCAAGCTCCCTTTGAGCTAGGAGATTCTTGTAAGAGGTTCCCCACTTACTAGCTGTGGAATTTCAAAGCTAAGTTTCCTCTTGGCCTCAGTTTCTATATCTGTAAAATGAGGCTAATCTACTACTGGTTGGGGCTGTTGTGAGTGTTAAATGTACCCTCACTGTGGCCAGCATGCAGCTGTGCTTGATGGAAAGGAATAGATGCATTTAAGCTCTTATGAATATTCTGCAAGACTTCAGCTGGCTGCCCACCCAGCATGAGCTCTCCTCCTTCCAGCCACTCCTTCCTTCCAGAGTGTGGTGTGGTGTGGGTGGGGCATGTGACCTGGTCCAATGCCACTTCCCCATGCCATCCGCTGGCTTCAGGGATTGGCTGGGGGATGGACATGTGATCTACTCAGCCAATGAGCTGTGTTGGGACTTTTTCTGGGAATACTGAGAAATAGATTCTTGCTTCTTGAGTTGGATTTGAAGCTGAGTCACTTTCTTGGACCATAGGGAGATAACTTGTCTGAGAATGAAGCCAACAACCTTGGGGCCATCAGTTGAGCCCAAAGCAAGCTGTTCCTGAAGCCCATATGTAAGATTTTCACCCATCCATGCAATATTTACTGAGTACTGTTATGTGATAGGTATCACTCCAGTTGCTGGGGCCACTGCTGGGAAATAGTTCCCACCTCCAGATGTCACAGTCCTGCTTAAGACCTTTGTTGGGAACGCTCTTTCCTCAATATCTCCATGGCTCTCTCCTGCATCTCCTTCAAGTCTTGGCTCACAGCTTATCCCTTTTGGGGGATGCCCTGACTGATTCAAAATTACATGCCCTCAGACCTCGCCTATCTTTTCTGATTTATTTTACTCCTTAGCACCAGTAACCATGTGGCGTACTCTATGAAATACCTACTTTGTTCATTTTCTGTCTCTCCCACTAGAAATGTCAGCTCCATGAGGGGAGGGATTTTCATGCGTTGTTCACAGTGGGTCCATAGAACAGAGTACCTGGAACAGAGTCTGGCATAGAACGAGTGCTCTGTATTGAATAAGTAGCCAGGGCTGTCAGGAGGTGGCAGTGCCCTGGCAGTTGGAAGGTTTCTGAAGGAGCCATCCATTTGAGAAGCCCCCAAGGGAGAGTACAGTATGTGGCTGCTGTGGCCAAGCAATTCTCTTCTGACTTAAACCAGCTGAATTAACTTTTTAAATTTCAGGGCAGAGCGGTGGTCACCTTCTGCCTTCCGGGACGCTGAGTTGTGCTTGGTAGCCTGCGATACTGGAGAGCTGCCCCTGGAGGGCGCCAGGGAATCTCGTTGCTGGACTCGGACGGCCTCCAGTAGAGATGACATGACGGTGGTAGTGGCAGTAACGGAGCATTTGCTTTTAGGTCTGTTTTAACTTTCGCAACAGCCGTACGAGACAGGCACAGCACTCATAACAGATGGGGGGAGAAAACTAAGGCGCAGAGAGGCTCACGGTCCCTCCGAGTTAAGTGGCAGAACCAAAAAAGAATCAGAAAGGAGTTAAAAATCACCATTTTTCTGTACAGCCAGAGGGAAGCAGGGAGGGACCCTGGGTGAAGAGGCTGTCATCCTTGAAGGCTCATCGTGCTGGGGTGTGACCCCTCTCAGGGCTGCTGGAGCCTCCACCCTGGCTCCCTGCTGCATGTCTCCCAGCAGTGGCCTGTGTCCTCATAACTGTGCAGCCAGACCAGCCTGCTCAGCTGCAGGTGAAATGGACAGAAAGCCCCATCCCTGCCCATTTTGAGGATTAAGAAGACTTCCTGGAGGAAAACATGCTTAACTGGAGACCAGAAAGAGGACTAGGAGTCAGGCAGGTGAAGAACTGTGGGCAGAGAGACCTGAGGGTATGGGGGCTAGGGATGAATTTCTTCACAAGCTCTTCAGGGAGGGTTTACCTGAACCCAATGAGCAAATGCACCACGACTTTCCTAGCCCACATTTCCAACCGTTTGCCTTTACTGTAAACATTCAGAAGACGCATCCAACTCCTTCCGCTCTGGCAGAACAGAGAGCCTTATCTGCAGCCCAATCTCAGAACTGTCTCAGCACTGGGCTTTACAGTTTCCAGACCAGCCTCTGGGACAGGAAGCTGGGGGAGGGGCAGGGGGCAGCGGTCAAGGGCTATAGGGCCAGTGCCTTGCAGAGGCTGGGAATCCCCTTCCCAGGACTTGAAGACCCTAGAAACCGGAAGCCCCCCTGCCACACACACAGAAGCACCCTGCCACGTGGCTGACTCAGCTTCCAGCCCCCTGGGGTTCTGGCTTCCTTTGGGGAGATATTTTACAACCAAAGTTTTCTTCCCAGCACCTGGGTGGGTAGGACTGCCTTGGGCTGCTAGCATCTCTTAGTTAACCTCTCGGGTTTTACTTACCTTATCCAGAAGGGTTGAATGGCTTATTAATTGTGCATACAGCAAAGTCTGGCACATAATCAGTGTGACTCTTTCTTTTTGGCAAAAACAACATGTTTCATAGTGTGACTCTCATTATTGTTGTGTGAATGTGATTTGATGCCGTAATTTCTCCTCTCTTCAATGTGGGGAGTCTTATTCTCTCAATACTCTAAGAATGAATGTCCAGCATGGATGCCAAGGGACGTTTTCTGCACCTGGAGGTTCAAGATGCCACTGGGGAAAGGGGAGGCTGCTAGCAAACGCCGTTTTGGTGGGGGCTCTATGTAGGAGAAAAGTATCCTAGCCTAGAGGTTGGAACACAG